CCTCCCAGCTAGACTCTAGAGTGTACTGAGAGAGGTGGTGGCTTTAAGCCAATATTCCAGCACCTCCCACTTACTGTTGTATTGCACTTCTTGTTATTTTGCCTTAACGTAACTTTCATTGTGTCATTTAAGTATTCTTATTATTTTGATTCATTGATTTTATTATACATATTTGTTTGTCCATATTTTCATGTTTTGATTTATTTAACGTAATTAAAATTTCATTGTTAAAGTTTACTTGTGTTTTGTGTGTCTTCTCCTTACCTTACCACAGACGAAGTTCCAGTTTTTCTATTTTTTTTATAACTATGTGACGAGGCCATACCCCTAGCCTTAAACAGCCGAACACCAACGCGTTACCGTCACAGTAAACATCAATCATGTCACCCCCTAAATCTTCGCCTTTCCAGTGAATGCAATTTAATCTTTGTTAATCTATATTCATGTGAAGGATTCTTTTGCATCCCTTTGCAGTTGTAGTAATGGTGGCAGCGGTGGGATTTGGTGTCTGCGTCTTGATCACTTATAAAGTGGTCAAATGAGAACCTGTGACAGGATGAACAACCCAGCGGGTTTTCTTTCTATTGGGGAGTGTTGTACATGCTGCTATGGCGGTATGGTCACTCACAGGATGAGTGGCGCTGCCCAATACTGGCACTATGGCGGTGTGTCCACTCACAGGATGAGTGGCGCTGCCCAATACTGTCACTATGGCGGTGTGTCCACTCACAGGATGAGTGGCGCTGCCCAATACTGTCACTATGGCGGTGTGTCCACTCACAGGATGAGTGGCGCTGCCCAATACTGTCACTATGGCGGTGTGTCCACTCACAGGATGAGTGGCGCTGCCCAATACTGTCACTATGGCGGTGTGTCCACTCACAGGATGAGTGGCGCTGCCCAATACTGTCACTATGGCGGTGTGTCCACTCACAGGATGAGTGGCGCTGCCCAATACTGCCACTATGGCGGTGTGTCCACTCACAGGATGAGTGGCGCTGCCCAATACTGTCACTATGGCGGTGTGTCCACTCACAGGATGAGTGGCGCTGCCCAATACTGTCACTATGGTGGTGTGTCCACTCACAGGATGAGTGGCGCTGCCCAATACTGTCACTATGGCGGTGTGTCCACTCACAGGATGAGTGGCGCTGCCCAATACTGTCACTATGGCGGTGTGTCCACTCACAGGATGAGTGGCGCTGCCCAATACTGTCACTATGGCGGTGTGTCCACTCACAGGATGAGTGGCGCTGCCCAATAAACTCGCCCCTCGGGGCAAAATTTTAATTTAAAAATGAAGAGAACCAATTTAAGAGGCCAGTGTAAAGGGGCAGTATCACAAAGGCAGCTACAGTGTTAGAAGTGATGACAAATGTGGTAACTTTGTTATAAACAATGCTGACCACTACATGAACAATGTTGACAAGCTGTGTTTGCCCCATTTGAGCAGTAGTGATGACCCCCTACATTAGCAGATGACCCTTACTTGATCACTAGGTAACCCCCCCCCCCACACACACAGAAGCTGTGGTACCCCTTATCCATTACACCATTTAAAACTGCACCTCGCCCTCTTAACCAGCCTTAATGCACCAAGTATAATCAGCCTCTCGTGTCTTTTGCAATTAAGGCTGAAGAGGTGCAACAAATATATATATATATATATATATATATATATATATATATATATATATATATATATATATATATATATATATATATATATATATATATATATATGAAAGACCTGGAGTAAATTCAGCTTTCAATTTACTTCGTGATTAAAAGAATAACGTCAGATATATAATACCTGCCTGAGGTTACCCGGTGTTGCTCGGGGGCACACGTCTCTCTAACACACACACACACACACAAGACCTACACCACTGCAACCGGAATCTACACTACAACACCCTCCCTCAACCCCTCTTAAACATCTTCACTACACAGAATGTTCATCACTGTAACCATATATTATTTAACACCTCTCACCCCCACCCTACACTCGTGTCAACTACCCCTTCCCCCGTAACAAGGGGGCAGAGAAACGAGGATGCTAGAGAGTGGTGCCAGTCACTGAACAGTGCCAAGTTGAATTGGTTATTGTGGTGGTTCCGGGCCCTGTGGCCCTGCCTGGCAGCCTTTGTACCCCCGGGGGCCTAGTTAGTTCACTTGGCACCATGTTGTTCTACCTGGGGCCTAGTTGTTCCAGCTGGGGCCTAGTTGTTCCAGCTGGGGCCTAGTTGTTCCACCTGGGGCCTAGTTGTTCCACCTGGGGCCTAGTTGTTCCAGCTGGGGCCTAGTTGTTCCACCTGAGGCCTAGTTGTTCCACCTGAGGCCTAGTTGTTCCACCTGAGGCCTAGTTGTTCCACCTGAGGCCTAGTTGTTCCACCTGGGGCCTAGTTGTTCCACCTGGGGCCTAGTTGTTCCACCTGAGGCCTAGTTGTTCCACCTGAGGCCTGGTCATTGCTGGCAGAACCTCTGGGTTTCTACACGTATATATATATATATATATATATATATATATATATATATATATATATATATATATCTTAGCTGTTCTTCATTATCCCTGTTCTCCTCTCCTGTTGTGTTCTCCTCTCCTATTGAGCTCTTATATGATAACAAATGCCTTAACAAATTCTTAACAGGCATTTGTATCTCTACTTTGCTTCAGAGAAGTCGCACCACGGGCCTCGCATAGTTCTGACAACTGTTTTTAACTACGACCAATCAGGAAGCTCGAAGCAACACCCTGGCGAAGGCCTTTGCAACGCTATCAGCGTTCCTTGTGCAACCCCTGACTACAATCCCCTTGCAACATCCAATCAAGCGTCTAATCACCACCATTCAGCAACAATTACCCGATCATGGACGCGTGCTGCAGTTATTAGGATCAGCCTCAGAACTGATGCCTCGGACTGCCTCCTTTTGCTGTCGAAGGTGGTGACGAGGAGGGTAAAACCAGCCAGCAGACAAGAGAGGGGTTAATTGCTCGCCAGCAGACAAGGATGGAGGTGCTATCCAGCAGACTATAAAGGAGGAAGGGAAGGGAATTATCAGGGGGGGAAAGCGTCAAGCCATTACGACTATATAGCACTTGGAAGGGATTAGGATAAGGATTTGGGATGGGACTGGGGGGGGGAAAAGGAATGGTGCCGAACCACTTGGACGGCCGGGGGGATAGAACGCGACCATCCAGGAAGCGAGGTCGCTGCTCTACTGTCCAGTCAAAGTGGTTGGGCAGCAGACAAGTTGGTGGTTGTACTAGCCAGCAGACACGGGAAGGGTGGAGTAGAGGTACTAGTTAACAGACAAGGTAGTACTAGCAGCAGACAAAAGGAGGGAGTAGCACCAAGCAGAAAAGAAGGAAACAGGAGAACTACAAGAGCAGACACACACTAACCAGACACCGTCGTTCCCAAATGTGTAGAGTGTGTCACCCTCTTGTCCTCGACTGTGGTCAACACAGTCGAGGCTCTAGGCTTTAGAGCACCGAGGCTCTAGATCAGGCGCTGGGGGCCCGGAGTCACTCAAAACGGAGGGATTGAGCGCGAGATGAACCAGTGGAAGAAGTAGGTATTGTGAGCACCGAACTCATTCTTGACTCACACTCGCTCAACGGAAACATGAAGAGAGTGAAAGAGCACCTAACATCATGCACGAGTTTACCTGTGACAACAACAGCAACCCTGCCTTAACTACAACAACAACAGCAACCCTGCCTTAACTACAACAACAACAGCAACCCTGCCTTAACTACAATAACAACAGCAACCCTGCCTTAACTACAACAACAACAGCAACCCTGCCTTAACTACAACAACAACAGCAACCCTGCCTTAACTACAACAACAACAGCAACCCTGCCTTAACTACAACAACAACAGCAACCCTGCCTTAACTACAACAACAACTACAAGAATAAATACAACCTACATTGGTATTTAAACACGGGAATCAAATTTATTTATATAAAATAAGCATTAAAATATAACATATATTTCAAGACACTCCCACGTCTGTAGCTAAGTCCACTTGGTTATCTACCTTGAGGTTACCTTGAGATGGTTTCGGGGTTAGCGTCCGTCTGGCCCGGTCCTCGACCAGGTCTTCTGGTCGCAACCCGTCCTCGACTCAAGTCCATTACATCCAGCGGTCGACCCCACAGACGCATTCATAAATTTTAACATACTGTTCATTCAAAACGGGAATTTTCTCAAGTATAAATTAATATTATAATATATTGGCATATTGTGTATATATAGGCATAGGTTAGGTTAGGTTAGGTGTTTAGGTTCTGTTGGTGATTATTTGTATTTGTAGTACGTGGGTGAAGCATTTACAGCGTTGTGGTTCGAACACAAGTCGTCAGTGAAGCACTTGTTCCGGATATGTTCGAACTTCAGCAGTTGTGAGTCGTGTGTAAACCGCTTTTCATTCATAAACAGGGGGTTTGGCGGGTGGATGGAATTATTTTTTGGGTCTTTGTTTGGAGGACGGGCTGGGAATGTCAGCCCGCCCTCCAAACAATGACCCAAAAGTGATTCCATGCACCCACCAAACCCCTGTTTATGAATGAAAAGCGGTTTACACACGACTCACAACTGCTGAAGTTCGAACATATCCGGAACAAGTGCTTCACTGACGACTTGTGTTCGAATCACAACGCTGTAAATGCTTCACCCACGTACTACAAATACAAATAATCACCAACAGAACCTAAACACCTAACCTAACCTAACCTATGCCTATATATACACAATATGCCAATATATTATAATATTAATTTATACTTGAGAAAATTCCCGTTTTGAATGAACAGTATGTTAAAATTTATGAATGCGTCTGTGGGGTCGACCGCTGGATGTAATGGACTTGAGTCGAGGATGGGTTGGAATAGTTACTGCTTTTCGAGTCACAGGTGGGATGCTTCGGTGACTGTCTCGAGGCTTCAGGAGGTTACTTCTGGGAAGAGACAACAACAGGCTGGCAGAACACCCAGTCGTCTCACTACTATCACTTGTCTCCTCTGAGTGTGAGATTAATCCTCTTTATCGACACGTTTTAAGTTGGGGAAAAGTTGATTTTATAATGGTGCTGTTTTATCTCAGGGTCGAAGGTTAGTTTAACATAATTCGTGTTTTAGTAAGTTATTTCTCGGTCAATTTAATAATCGCGTGGAATTATTGCATATCTAGCCAATTCCTCCACTACACTACTGTATAATGCAGATTATTACGGATGTATTAATGGATTCTTTTGAAATTTATTTTGCTGGTCTTTTTTAGTTTTGAAAACTGGATTGGTTGATGAAATTAAACGCGTGTTGGGTTCTGTTACTAATACAAACGGCTTCGGTTCCTTAATTATAATATATAAAACTACTAGTTTGTGAAGTGTTTAATCGTCGTTGAAACTAACATTAAATGACTTTTGTATTGTTTATAAAGTTAAATAGTAAGTTTATTTATATTTCCAGGATCGATTAACGGTGCTCCTGTTACTTACTTCACTCCCGAAGGTAAGTATACTTCCCTCCCATGTATACCCTACACTCGCATATGTATACACACAAGACTGTGTCACTTCTTGACGTAAACATTCGCTTCTACTCCGCAGATAGGGACACGCCAGGCTGGCTGACTTTCGCCCCTCACCCTATGCGCAAGCCCAAAAAGGCGCGGTTTCTCTACCAGGCAGGCGCAGCACGCATATTTTACCACAAGCATCAAGGGTTAATCTGGGAGGTAAACTTTACTTGAACTGTCGTTATGCACTTGAAACTCTGCCCCATATGGACTAGTCCCCCCCCCCCCCTCCCCTTTTCCGAACTTGCATTTCTAGGAATTTGGATATCTGAATTTTATTCCTAAATTGTGATTTCTGTAGAAGTTGTATAAATCTGATTTTAATCTTTGTCTGTAGATATGTGGTGAGTTTCTAGTGTTTCCCGAGGTGTGTGTTTTAAACTTGACTTGAACTGTCATTATGCACTTAAAACTCTGCCCCATATGGAGTAGTCCCCCCGTACCCCTTTCCGAACTTGCATTTCTAGGAATTTGGATATCTGAATTTCATTCCTAAATTGTGATTTCTGTAAAAGTTGTATAAATCTGATTTTAATCTTTGTCTGTCTGTAGATATGTGGTGAGTTTCTGGTGTTCCCAAGGTGTGTGTTTTGCGGGGTCTTGAGCACCATTAGAGTGAGGCTTATAGTGATCTACTTCTACCCGGTGCAGTACTGCATCAGCTGTGCTCACCAGGCTGTTGAGGTTCTCAGACTGCTCCAATGACGGAGTGTCCCTTGGGATCCGGATGTCTTCGAACCATGGGTATAACAGATTCTTTTTTTTAACCTCGCTATATATATTAGCAGTAATGTTTTAGTGTTTTAAAAATGTTTTTACTCTACTACGTTTTAATAAATTTTATAAAGTTTGTGTTTGTTTACGGAAAGCTTTTCATAACTTTATATGAACTTTTAAAAAATAGTAATTCACGGTTACTTCATTATTCCAAATGTGGGAGAGACTGTAATTGGATTAACTGGTTTCGCTAAGACTTCCAGCCCAGAACATCCACATAACGTTTGTCTGAGATGATGTGGGTTTTCAATTTATATTTAACTATTACAAATTTTATGCTTGACTATTTTGTGGCGATAGAGGCATTAGATTCGTGCACGATGCTGTGCTTCTCAGAGGAGAACGAGAGTAATTAATTTGCTCAACCGTAATTCAGTAATTTTTGAGTGATACTTGGGAAAGAACCAGAGGGTATCTCTCCCAGTCCGGCACCGGCTAGTCCTCGAGGACCAATTGCTCGTTAACCTACCAGCCAAATTATCCAGTTATGGATTGGGGGGGGGGGGAGGAGGGAGTTCATTCACACGAGCTTCGCAACTGACGAATTGTGTACCATTTCTCTACCGGAACTTAATGTCCTCAGTTCGAATTGCACTTTATCAATGGCTTCGTACACGTATTACAAACGCTAATAATTGTTGACAGAACCAAAGTTGGGTTTGACTACACGGAAAATTATTTAATTTAGTAGTATAACTACTACATTAGTCTTGGTACATCTAAGATTTCGCAGTACATCTCAAACTGATGAATCTGGGGTTGACCGCCGCTTGGACGAGCTTAGCATGAGGAAAAGTTTCTCGCTAATGTTCTCGTCAACCAGTTTCTAGTTAGAACTCTCGTGGGCCAGTGCCAGTAGCACCGTCATGGGGGGGGGGGGGCGAGAAGTTAACTAGACAACTTGATGGTTAACAAGGATAAAGTCCAAATTAAAGATGCCAATTCTTGTATTGGTCTAGTGTCTGCAGAGCAAATTGTCTTGCGGAAAAAAGTATCTTATTTAAATTTGTAAGTGTCAGTCTTGCGCTTCCCGGCTTGGCAAGTGCCGATGTTATAGATTTAAGTGCGTAACATCTCTCTCTCTCTCTCTCTCTCTGGATGTGACCCTTTGTTTCCTGTCTGTTAGGTTCTCCATTGAACGAATCTTGGTCTTTCCAGTTAAGAGACCTCGTCTGTCCATCCGATACGCAAGGCATATGATATTAAAACACTACACGGCCTTTTGCCTTGCTGTATAATAACCTTGACCCCGAAGACCTTTTATACTGAGGTATGACTTTAAATGCTGATCATTGGGGAAAACTGAACAGTCACCTAGAAGAGAAATTTCAGTACACATCTTGGGGCCACTTATACAAAAAATTTCACTTTCTGATGGCGTGAGTAAATTGCATTTTATTGCAAGAAAATAACTGATGACTAAATCTCTGAGGGTTGACCACTGACAACTGGAATGAATTTTCACTTTCACTGAATAGACTACGAAAGTGAATTCGCTTTCCCCCAAAGATAAACCTACCAGCACCACTTTTGCTCGATTCCACTTGAAGTTGTGGACTTGCGAGATGTTCCTGCAGTCTGAGGAGGTACGTGAAGTGTGGTACTGGAGGTACCAGGCGTACCAGGAGACGCTGCGAACAGCGCTCTTGTCACCCCCTCGTCGTCCCCTCTACTGGTGCAGACGTCATGTGAGAAGGTGACCGCCAGAATGTTAATTGCGACGAGTGATCAGTAGGCATTATTGAGACTGATGGTGGAAGGTTTTGGGTATTTGACTTCTTTGAAAATTAATACAACTCCATAGGTTTTAAACGTCGTAAGTACCGATTCTAAACGTGTATATTCACTCGTCGCATCATAAGAATTTTAAGAGCAAAGGTATGTACAGAAATCTTCAAGGATTAGGGAGCGCCTCAACCAGCCTCGAGGCCCATAGTTTCACTTGAATCCTCTTATCCAGTCTAATCTTCAATCTCTTAACTATACTTACGAAGATATTTTGACTGAAATGTAGGACCTCCGATCTTCCTGAAGGAACTGACTCGCTCCTCTGTGTTGATGAAAATATGAGAGGGATTCAAACGGGGGGGAGATACAAATCCTGGGAGTGTCTGGGATGCTCCCAGACGCAGGTTCGAATCCTCGTCACGGCCCTTGTGGATTTGTTCATTAGATGCATCACGTTAGTGTGATCTCTGTGTGAGAGGGAGATAGCAGGAGGCTGCAATGTGTCCTGGACAAACAAATGGCTTCTAGAGTTTAATTCAAGTAAGTGTAAAGTAATGGGGAAAAAGGTGTAGGGAGGAGGCTGGACACAAGGAACCAATTGGGAGGTGAAATCCTGAAAGAATCTGGTAGAGAAAGCTGTGGTGGTTGGGGGGTTGTCACACCAGACTTGTTACTTGAAGCCACAACCAGTCCTCCTGTTTAGACTGGACTTTACGTAACTGTGTGTGTGTACCATCGTACATATACTGACGTTATCTTGAGGTTATCTTGAGATGATTTCGGGGCTTTAGTGTCCCCGCGACCCGGTCCTCGACCAGGCCTCCACCCCCAGGAAGCAGCCCGTGACTGCTGACTAACTCCCAGGTACCTATTTACTGCTAGGTAACAGGGGCATTCAGGGTGAAAGAAACTTTGCCCATTTGTTTCTGCCTCGTGCGGGAATCGAACCCGCGCCACAGAATTAAGAGTCCTGCGCGCTATCCCCCAGGCTATGAGGCCCCTTATGAGACGTAAGACAATTAGTAGAATTTGGTACTCTTCACTTTATAGAATTGTGATAAAAATCTAAAAACCAAACTAAAATTTTCCTAGGCTTAGTATAGTACATATATATACTATGTTAAGCCTCACGTATTCCACCACACTAGTCCCGTAGTAGAGAGGTATGACCTACCAGGAAAGGTAACTTTGAAATAAACCTTTAATTCTCTGATAGACATGATTACGACCTAATAAATCTATCAGAGAATCTGAGAGAGCAGATAAACACAAACTATTTAGCACGGCTGGTGTACGAACAAGGGGACACGGGTGGAAACTTAGTACCCAAAATGAGCTAAGAGATATAAGAGAATTTTTCAGTATCAATGCAGTTAACAAATGGAATTCATTTGGAGGTGATGTGGTGGAGGCTGACTCCATACAAAGCCTCAAATGTAGGTAGCTGGAGCCGGTCGGCCGAGCGGACAGCACGCTGGACTTGTGATCCTGTGGTCCTGGGTTCGATCCCAGGCGCCGGCGAGAAACATTGGGCAGAGTTTCTTTCACCCTATGCCCCTGTTACCTAGCAGTAAATAGGTACCTGGGTGTTAGTTAGCTGTCACGGGCTGCTTCCTGGAGGTGGAGGCCTGGTCGAAGACCGGGCCGCGGGGACACTAAAGCCCCGAAATCATCTCAAGATAATCTCAAGATAGGTATATGATAAAGCCCAATAGGCTTAGAAACCTATTGATGACGGGACCAGAGAGCCGAAGCTCTCACAAACGAAACTAGGGGAGTTTAGCTAACTCTCTCACTCAACTCCTAAAATACAACATTGAAACACCTTAACACACACGAGGAGTAGAGAGCGTCCCAGCCCAGTGCTAATATAACTCACTTTACCTCTTACGGGTCGGGTAAATCTTGAGGTTATCTTGAGATGATTTCGGGGCTTTAGTGTCCCCGCGGCCCGGTCCTCGACCAGGCCTCCACCCCCAGGAAGCAGCCCGTGACAGCTGACTAACTCCCAGGTGCCTATTTACTGCTAGGTAACAGGGGGCATTCAGGGTGAAAGAAACTTTTGCCCATTTGTTTCTGCCTCGTGCGGGAATCGAACCCGCGCCACAGAATTACGAGTCCTGCGCGCTATCCACCAGGCTACGAGGCCCCCTGAAGCCGGTAGTTAGGTAATAACGACCCGTAATTACTCTCACGCGCGTGAGTAGAATCCGTCCAGGTCGTCTAGGCGGCGACGATAGCCCCTTGGAACAGAAAGGAAAGAAGGTGATGGTTTGGTACGACCCAGAAGGGCTATTGTACGACCCTGAAGGGCTATTGTACGACCCACAAGGGCTATTGTACGACCCAGAGGGGCTATTGTACGACCCAGAAGGGCTATTGTACGACCCAGAGGGGCCATTGTACGAAACACGGGGGCTATTGTACGACCCACAGGAACTATTGTACGACCCAGAAGGGCTATTGTACGACCCAGAGGGGCCATTGTACGACCCACAGGAACTATTGTACGACCCAGAGGGGCCATTGTACGACTCACAGGAACTATTGTACGACCCAGAGGGGCTATTGTACGACCCAGAAAGGCTATTGTACGACCCACAGGAACTATTGTACGACCCAGAGGGGCTATTGTACGACCCACAGGGCTATTGTACGACCCACAGGGGTTATTGTACGACCCAGAGGGGCCATTGTACGACTCACAGGGGCTATTGTACGACCCACAGGGGCTATTGTACGACCCACAGGAACTATTGTACGACCCACAGGGGCTATTGTACGACCCACAGGGGCTATTGTACGACCCACAGGAACTATTGTACGATCCACAGGGCTATTGTACGACCCAGAAAGGCTATTGAACGACCCACAGGAACTATTGTACGACCCAGAGGGGCTATTGTACGACCCACAGGGCTATTGTACGACCCAGAGGGGCTATTGCACGACCCACAGGGGCTATTGTACGACCCACAGGAACTATTGTACGATCCACAGGGCTATTGTACGACCCAGAAAGGCTATTGAACGACCCACAGGAACTATTGTACGACCCAGAGGGGCTATTGTACGACCCACAGGGCTATTGTACGACCCAGAGGGGCTATTGCACGACCCACAGGGGCTATTGTACGACCCACAGGGCTATTGTACGACCCAGAAAGGCTATTGAACGACCCACAGGAACTATTGTACGACCCAGAGGGGCTATTGTACGACCCACAGGGCTATTGTACGACCCACAGGGGCTATTGTACGACCCACACGAACTATCGTACGACCTGGAAGTTGTTGTATACCTTCCCGTTGAGGTGTATAGGTATACTTCCTGGTCTA